TGATAGTTTTCGGGAGTCTGATGAAAGAGTTCTTGATAAGCGTAGAAATTATTTGTTGAACATAAGTTTGGCTGTAACAATGATAACACAAAACATGAGCAAAATAGCGATTTTCTGCAGCCTAATGAAAGAGCTTTTGATAAATGTAGAAATAGTTTGCTGATTGATGAGTTTGGCTATAACCATGATAACAAAAAAAAGGAGCAAAATTGACCTTTTTTTGCAAGGTGATGAAAGAGTTCTTGATAAACGTAAAAAATATTTGTTCATTGATAAGTTTGCCTATAACCATGATAACAAAACAAGAGAGCCAAAATTGACGGTTTTCTACTGTCTGATGAAAGAGATCTTGATAAACGTATAAATCATTTGCTGATTGATGAGTTTGGCTATAACAATGATAACGAAAAAAGAAGCAAAATTGACGGTTTTCTGCAGGCTCATGAAAATGTTCTTGATAAACATAGAGATCATTTGCTAATGATGAGTTTGGTTATAACCACGATGGAAAAAAGAGAGCCAAATTGATGATTTTCTACAGTCTGATGAAAGAGCTCTTGCTAAACGTAGAAATCGTTTGCCGATTACAGAGTTTTGCTATAACCATTATAACAAAAAAAAGGGGCAAAATTGACGCTTTTCTGCAGTTCGATGAAAGAGAAATTGATAAACGTAGAAATCATTTGATGATTGATGAGTTTGGCTATAACCATGATAACAAAGAAAAATGAGCAAAAGTGACGGTTTTCTACAGTGTAATGAAAGAGCTCTTGATAAACGTAAAAATTATTTGCTCATGATGAGTTTGGCTATAACCATGATTACAAACAAGAGAGATAAAATTGACGGCAATCTGCAGTCAGATTAATGATATCTTGATTAACGTAGAAATCATATGTTGATTGTTGAGTTTGGCTATAACAATGATAACGGAAAAATGAGCAAAAGTGACAGTTTTCTGAAGGCTCATGAAAAATCTCTTGATAAACGTAGAAATCATTTGTTGATGATTAGTTTGGGTATATCCAAGATAACAAAAAAAAAAAAAAAAAAAGC